TTAGTAATATGTCTTATGAACCGCTCTGATTCTTTGGGGAATTTCCATCAATCATGTGTGTCATGTCTGCACTGAGTGGGGTCTAAAGTTCGCCAAGTTTCTGCCTTGGGCTTCGTGCTATAAGCATCCAAATGTGGCAACTTCCAAAAAGTTTTCCAAGGCACAGTTGGATATAAATTATCCACTTATCTAGAGCGCTAGGCAACATGGTATTCAAATTTTCCACCCCCTCTTACAAAAGGGACTATGATGCCTTTCACTCAGGAATGGATAACCACAAGAAGCAAACATTCTGTGACACTAAAAAAAATTATTTCATGGATATGCAGGCTTGTTTTTGAAATAAAGAGCAGTCCGATGGATGTATTATTCATCAGCTTTGTAATCAAATACGATTTTAAGATATAGGGTGACTTGATATGTTTTGTACAATTTCTCAGTAACTATGATCAACAGCATGGATTCTGCTGCATAAAACAACTCATGTTCAAAAGCAATTACAACCTTTTTAGGCAGAGAAACCCCATTTGATAGAGGAACACAGACCAGACACAGATGATCAAAGGGGAATGTCTGAGAGGAATACACAGAGGGAAATGTTTGCACTCTCAGAATAAGAAATGAATCTGTTTGGACAAAGGCAAAGAGGCCAATTCTAATAAATGACTCAGAAAAAAAAGACGCTTTTCCATCTTCTGAAAACTAGGTAAATGACATCATGCATGTATGTGCACGTGCACACGAACACACACACACACATGCGCACACAAACACATAACGCACACACACACAGGCAGACACACGCACACATGCACACACGCACACATGCGCCCTTTTTATTTTGTCTGTAAATTCTTTTGATAGTTCCTGCTCTCAGCCTTCAACAATCCTTTGTCCTTTCCTCCATGAAAAACTAAGTTGGAGAAATGGGAACAGTACAGATCCACACTCAGTATAACCTCCTCTGTCTAAATACAATCCTGGGAGAATATGAGTGGTAGCCAACACACTTTCTCCATATGAAATTATGTCATGCAAATTTAAGGCTCCACACATAGGCACTAATACATCAATACTGGACATAGGAGAGGGTCTGGTATGTGAGAGCACTGGTTTAGTTTTGGGTAGTGGACCGGTCATATGGCTAGCATTTTCAAACATACACAGTACCTAAAGATATTTAGCAAAAGCGACAAGCTTCTGGTTTGCTGACTATGGATGTGGAGCTAAGTTGTTATCAGGGAGGTGTGGGCCGAAGTGTGAAAGAGGGACACAGTAACAGAGGGGTTGATTTATTGATTTATTTTCGAGATTCACATTCATGAATACAAAGAGAAGAGCTGTCAGCAACACACATGCCAATGACCAAACAGCAGCCAAACCTGCCTCTTCCCGTCTGGGCAGGCAGACACAAAATGACATCTCACAGGCTAGGAAACTCAAATATAAGGGAACCATTGAGAAAGAAAAACAGTCCTGAAATTATCCATATCATTATTAGGGCGCAGAATTCGGAATTTTAATGTATTTAGACAACAAAGAATACCAGTCCATCAAAATTAGAGAACTAAATGGCAAGCCTTAAACACGAGCCGGCTCCAAAGTATCTGCCCAGGAGATAATCAGAGTAAGAGAAATTTAATTTTGTACTAGAGACAGCAAGAAGCCAGACACAAGGCAAGGGGGTCTGTTTTGATTTGTTGTAAGGTCCTAAGGAATGACCAGGGTGATGTGCCAGGACCTGATCCAAGGCAAAATCTTGAGCAGCAAGCGTTCCCAGGCTCACTTCATAGCAGACACAATAGTCCCTCTCTAGGTCATTGGTAAGACTGCATCCAAAGTTACATGTAATTCTCCACACTGAGGAAACACTGAACCAGTTCAACAAATCACCTTAAAATCACGACACTATCCTTCTCTCTCTCTCTCTCTCTCTCTCTCTCTCTCTCTCTCTCACACACACACACACACACACACACACACACACACACACCTTGCTGAACAGCCTATAGTTACCGAGAGTTCTAAGAGTTTAAGAGCCATAAAAGCTGAAACTCTGGCACTCAGGCTACCTTAATTTATGATGATTACACCCCAGATAGCTGAGCCATGCTTTACAGTTGACAGTGCTGGTCCACATAAACGACTTCACTTGGTCCTCATAAAAACTATGTGGAAAGGTCGGAACACGTATTATTATCCCCATTTTATAGATGAGAAAGCTGAGTTTCCAAGCAAGACAGGTTTTGTCGGTCATGAGTTCTACAGAAAGCTTGCTTGCATGGTGAGACCAACAAGAACAGCCACGCATCCCAGGAAACAGACTGTTCTAACACTCTGGTCTCCCATACCTCAGTTTTCCTGGATAGAATGCAGATGCAAGTGTTGTTTTCAGAGGCTAGCGTGAAGGGTGAAATTCAGAAAGCCCTGGCTTTAAAGATGTTTGCCATGCGGCCGCTTTTAGACTTGAAAAGCAAACAGAAAAAAAAAAAAAAAGCCGGTTGTGATAGGAAAGTGTTAATGTGTGATTGAGACACAAAGAGATTCAGTGTGTAAAGGACATTTCAAATCCCCAACTACAGTATCCTCCCCAATTTGTTTTTGACGCGTACAACATGTACAGCCACACAGTAATATTGAAAAGTGACGACCTGACCTTGGTAATCATGATTCCTAATACATATTTAAGAGAATGGACTACTTTAAAACTTTGAAAATATGCCTCTTTCGATCTTTAATGCATGTTTATTTAAATTTCTCCAGATGTTCATTATTTAAAAGGCTATCAGAAGAAAAAAAAGCAAGAAATAAAAGAGCACTTCCAATTTTTTTGAATCTCTAATTCATCTCCAACGCCAATCAATATTTTTTCACAAATATGCCAAAGAGTTTAATGACATTACAATACCAAATGATTTATGACAACTAGGGGGAAAAAAAAAGAAATGCCTACAAAACCAACTTTAAATCTCTGGAGACAGACTGATAAGTCCAAAACGTGACTTTAAACTTGAGAGATAAAAGACCTTTGGTTGTGGGCATACATGCATATCCTGAATAGCAAGAAGATGTTAGCAGTTCTGTGAGAACGGGCAGCATTCATAATAAACTCTCAGAAGCACATCTGCGCCCTGTGATGAGGCATTCTCAGTACACGTTCATGGAAAAGATAAATAACACTTTGAAAGAGAAAAGTTTCTCCAATGTTGAACCTATATCCATCGGCTGTGAAGACATCACTAGTCGCCAGTCCCGAATACATGAGTTTAATCATGCAACTGGTAAAGTTCAATTAGCAAACTACATGTCTTCTCAAGCTACGCTCTCCGCGTAGTGACAAGCACTGTGTAGAAATCAATACTCCCTCCAACTTGCTGCATATAATGAGTTACATCAAGCATGGTTCCAATACTAACAGCATTGTATGGCAGAGACGCAGGCGGTAATACTGAACCCGGAGAGAATTAAATTAAGTCGTCGGAGCTCACTGCATAGAACTGGTGCCCTCTGCACATCACCTAGATACATGGTTTCTCCTTTGCCTGCTACCATTTCACAGCCTCTGCCTAAGAGGAGGGTACACTCAGGCACCAGAATCTGAGCTCTAAGTCCCAGTATACAGTTGAAAATGGGGGAGGGGAGAAGAAAAGCTAATGAAGGATTTGCTCCGGAAAACAACCTGGTGAGTTTATTTCCAGGAAATCGGGCAGTCTCAACAATGAAACTGTCAAATACAAAGTAAGTTCGGTCTACGCATCCTGTCGGTTCAGCCAGAAGCGCGACAGTCTCGTTTCCCGTCACCCTTCGGCCCTTCTGTGTTTCCATCTGTCCTAGGAACCCAGGCAGCAGATGCGCCCGCCAAAAGCGCGGGGCCGGGGCGGTTGGCCAGAAAAGTTGTCAAGCCCTGCGGGAGGCAGAAGATCAACCTGGGAGCTCGCTCCCCAGAGTCCACCAGGTGAAACTTCAGAGCCGGCGGACGACACACAAAAGAAACCGATCTCCAGGAAGGATATCAAAAGTGGATGGGAACAGAGACAACCAGTCCGAGAGACCGGGAGTCCAGGGTCTTCTGTGAGATTCAAAAGGGGATAACCATGGAACTCTGCGTCGCGTCTCTCTACCCGGGTTGCCCTGGTGGACTGAGAACGTTCCCAGCCCGGGTCATCCAGGCGGACTCAGGGAGATGTGGAGCCAGTTTTGTGCTGGCTTCAGTACATAAGCAGGGTAAGCCTTCCGGGAATGGGCGCCCAGCCCTCGCTGCCCAGGACAGCTTTGATTCTATCCTAAGAGTCACATTTCCAAACGTCGTACGGGTTCCGCCAACATACACATGCAACATGCTCTACGCTGCGCCCTGTAATCAACCCAGGAGCAACTCTCAACCCTCAGCGGAGGAGGAAGAAGCCTCCGAGAGTCACAGGGAAGTAGTTGGACAATAGTCAGAGGAGGTTATTCCCGGGACAAAAAGCACCTGGCAGAGCGTGCCGATGTCAGTCCCTATGCGTCCCCACAATTCTGACAAAAGCTTCCCGGGTAATTTTTTGAACAGTCTGGCGGCAGAGAGCCACCAGCCCGCTCGGCGAGCCAAAGAATAGTGGTCCCGGGAGCCCTAAGTACTTTTTCTTTCTCTCTTCCCTAACTAAGGCTGTGAGGACTGCTTTCCCGACGCCCAAGATATCTACGGTTCACCCAAGAAAAGCAAGGTCGCCAGACTCCATCCAGTATACCCGGGGCTGTCTGCGTGCCCGGCCAGCCTCGGAAACAATGGGTCGCGAACGTAAAAGTTACCTGAGCGGGGTGGCGCCCACCTCCTGACCTCGCCCCGCCTGACACAAACTCCCAGGACAGACCTGGCTTCAACCTGCACCCCCCCACCCCAACACTCCGAGCAAATGCCTCCCGAATGCCCAGTCCCGGCAACCAGCTAGTTCCTCCTCCCTCAGAGCCCAAGGTTGAGGACAGCCACAGACCCCAGATGCCCCCCACCACCGACCACTCACCTGCTGAAAACTGGCCTTGGACCGACCCCAGGAGAGGCCACGGGGACAGGAACCAGAGCGCCACAAAAGCAGGCAGCGCCGCCGCCGCCACATCCATGGCGAGTTTGGGAGAAGTTTCAAGCAGCTTTGCAAAGAGCCTCCGGGGGTATCGCGGCGAAATCCACCAGCCAGCCGCCCGCCCGGCCTCGTGGGGGGCTCGCGGGGACGCCGCGGCCACCCGCCAGCACTTTCGTCCTTGCACAACGTCGGCAAACTACCTCGCGGGCGAAAGCGTCGCCCGCCAGCCGCGGCCACTGCTCTCCATGCTCGGTAGAGGCAGCTCAGGGTAGTCCAGAGTTACTTTGCTCGGGGAGGGACGGGGGCGGAGCCTGGGGTGACGTCGCCCCGCGGGCTCCGGCCGCTTCGGTGGAATGCGGGCTCCGGCGCGCGCCACCGCCGCCGTCGCCTCCTACCGGGAAGACGCGCGCCAGCCCGGCCGCGCGCCCCGCGCAGCCTTTGTTCGCCACCTGGGCTCGGTGGCCGCGCGGCTCCTGGGCTGCGAGCCGGAAAGAGGGACGCGGCGCAGCTCACTGCCTGATCCCCTAGGAGCGAGTCTTGAGAGGCAGGAGTGTGGGTGGACAGTGGGAGAACCTCGGAGGAGGCGCCCGAGAAGAGGCGTCCTGGGGTTCTGTCCCCGAGGTGGCGGTTCCACCGGAGCGGTTGGTGATAGGAAGACAGGGGAGCAACCTTTAAAACGCCGAGCTGCACTGAAATTTCACTGTTCCTTATTGCTGTGGTAAGGAATAAGACTCCCTACCCCCACTGAAAACTTACTCTCGTTTGTTCTCATAATAAATAAAACTTGGACTAAAATAAAATGTTGGGTAAGTTTCCAGTGTGAACAGCTGGCGTTCCTCATTTCTGGTTTGTCATTTACAGAATATCTGAATTTACTTGCCGCGTCACTGGCTTTGCTTGTTGCTGGAGAAGCTCCTATCCCTCTGCCTTTGCCTAGCCTGGTGTAGTAGAGAGTGGTTTGCGTTTTGTTTTTTATTATCTTGTATCTATTTAAGAAATGAGTACTTAATAAAAGGACTTTGCCCCGACAGCATGGTTGCTCTGAAGGAACCCTTTGCTGCGCTAACATCTTTAAACTCTGTCCCTTTGCTGCCTTAGGAGCTTGACGGGGTTTCACCAAATGCCACCCTGACTTGCTTCTGTAGCAACGCTGTATAGCTGTTTACTTTATTTAAGCCTGCAAAATATGACATAAGCAAGTGTGATCACAATTGAGTAAGCATAACTTTGACTTCGAATTTTGATGCCGTATACGCAAGTTCTAACAATAGTCTTGATTGACACCTGTCAGCCACTCAGACATCTTTAGCCTTTTTAAATCAAAATGAGGTGAGATTCAATTTAACGTAACATTCTCGCCATTTACAAAGCCACATCGTTCTGCAACACATATATGCTGGTATGACTAGGTTTTGAACAGGAAATATAAATGCAAGTAACTGTATGCCATCTCTGTATATATCTAGATACATACATATCTATGTACATATATTATACATGCATATAGATCAAGAAGGAGAAAGTGCATTTTTTTTTATTTGCTGAGAGAGAAACTTCATTAAACTCCCGTCTTGATTGCTCATTAGCACTTGTAACCAGCCTAACATTTGTCAATTCATTTCAACAGAATGCAGGCTTCCTCCCTCAGGGTACAACGTGGCTGAACCTTTGCTCATTAACCTATAACTTGAAGCACAGTGTACCCTGGGGCCCTATTTCTTACACCTAGGAGCTTTTCTAGATCACAGGTAACCAAAACCTATTATTTTCCTTTCTGAAGATTTAGCAGGACTTTCTAAAAAAAAATTAGCAGTAATTTGCCACAGTAAAAGGAAAGCAAACTCCTCTGTCCATGTGAATTCACCTGTTTTATTCTTGCAAGAATGATGAGAGACACTCATGATTTGGCAAATTGTTTGTAAACAAAACCCTATAGAGATGTAGACCACTTCTTATCATAGCCATTCCCTGGAACAAGAGATAAAGAATTTTTTTTTTTATTTTCTCTATGATGGAGGAGTAACAGTACAGATAATGCTTTGGGAGTGCTCAAGATGGGCCAGGCCCCTTAGATGGGCAGTATCACAGGGAGGAATCCAGACTATACTCGGCTTCAGTGAGCTCAGGCAATAGCAAGACAGGGGTGAAGCAATTTACTGCCCCCACACACACACACCAAAAAAAGGGGGGGGGGGAAGAGGAAAAAGAAGAGAAAGGAGGAAATTCTTACAAGGAATCAGCAGAGATGGCTTCTCAACAAGACCAGGAGAAAAGCAGTAACATTTTGAGCAAGTGAAGTGGTCCGTTTATCCTTAGGGCTCACAGCTAAAGTGGACCAGTGGGGCTCACCATCAGTTTGGTAGTTGGCTGTTTTTGAAATCTCCACTCTCCTGCTCTGGCATTTTTCATTTAAGAAAAAAAATCACTGAAATGTTCATATTCTTTTACCTACTTGCTGTCCTAACACAACTCAAAATATGAAAAATGTTTTAGGTACTCAGGTATTTACAGAAAAGAAAAGTGAGAATAATCAAATGTCCATATATAGACCAAGTCATGACTGTATGACTTAGTAGGATATCTCTTATAATACACGAAGCTGAATTTTATGGAAAAAGCAAATTGCGCAGGGAAGAATGTTAATGATCAAACATTGGCGCACGGTAGTTGAAGACATTATAGGATTTTCATTGAAAGAAAAAGATGAGGAGGGGGGAGTGGCTACGGAGATTATTCAGTGGTAAAGAACCCACTCTGCTCCTCCAGAGAGCCAGAGTTTGGTTCGCACTTACCGTGTCAGAGGGCTCACAGACATCTCTAACTCCAGCTCCAGGGAGCCTGACACCCTCTTCTGAACTTCCGGGGCACCCACTCTGACAGTGCCTCAGAGACACCCCCAGATTCACACGTGCACATGTGTGCATTAATGTACAGAATCACAAAAATAAAATCTCCTTTGTCTTATTTTATATTTATCTTATTTCTTCAGGAATAAAAAAACTGGCGAGGGCTACTAGTGAAGTCTGCAAGGCATTATCACGGATGTGTTTAGTAACACTAAATGACACACTCGAAGTACCTAATACAATAAAGTTTATGTTCTATGTAATGTACTGTGATAAAGCAATGAGATGACAAAAGTCTACAGGCAAAACAAAAACAAACAAACAAAAAAAAAAAAAAAACAAAGACTGGGAACTGGAGAGATGGATGGCTCAGCAGTTAAGAGCTGGGTACTCTTCCAGAGGACCCAGGTTCAATTCCCAGCACCTACGCAGCAGCTCTCAACTGTCTGTAATCCAGCTCCAGTTAATTTGACACCCTCACACAGACATACATGCAGGCAAAACACCAATGTACATCAAATAAAAATAGATAAATCAGTAGAAAAAAAACAAAGACTAAATAAAACGGTCAACAGCAACAACACTAAAGCATGAGCTTGGGAAGTAGGTCAGTGGCAGACGAGTCTTGTGGCATGTTCAAGGTCCAGGTTCTGACCCGGGACCATAAGGGGAAAATAGTATTAATTCAATTACTAGTTAATTTAGCTTACTTAATTTTTATAGTTGTACTTTTTCCACCCTGGGCCATTCTTTGCCACATGACTGGCTATAGTAGATGGAAGGGTTGTTTGCTTGATTGGGGCGGGGGTAGGCGGGGCTGCTGCTTTTTGCTTGTTTCTGGAACTCAATTGTAGCAATCCTGCTACTAGGATTACAGGTGTAGGTTACCATTTGAACAATACAAATATCTTTTGTTCTTGTGGATGTGCCACCTATTAGCTCCAATCATGAACTTAAACCTGTAGGGTAAAAAGAGCCAAGGAAAAAAACACTCTGACCCTGATTTGACCCAACCAAGACCAAGACCAAGGGAACATACCTTTACCCCACAAGACTTGCATTCGGCAAAATGCTTCCAATAGAATCCCAGTTTTGTCAAATTTTAGTAAGTGTAATTGGAAAATAAACACTGGAGATCGGTATGTTTGTAGAATTCAAGAGTGAGCAAAACTAAACAGGTTTCTCCACTGTATGACCTTTTGCATGATTGCCAGTATGGAACTGGGTGCTGCACATCTGTTTGATAAGGGATGGAACAGAAACTTCTCAAAGTTCAGGACCCTGGACCTACAGCAGAATAAGGTGCTAACCATCTTTGCAACAAAATAGTTTAAGTAATCAACTTTTTTTTTCTTTTCTTTTGATTTTTTTTTTTGAGATGATTTCCTTGCATAGTCCTGGCTGTCTTGGTACTCTCAAACTCAGAGATATGCCTGCCTCTGCCTCCTGAGTGCTGGAATTAGAAGTGAGTGCCACCATAACCTGCAAGTAAACAACTTAAAGAAAGTTTTTTAAGGTTTATTTTTGGCTCAAGGCTTTAGTCTTCAGTCATTTGGGCCTGTGGAAAGGCAGGAGAATGGTGAGGGATCATAAGGTAAAGTATGGTGCTCACTTCCTTTTAGCCAGGAAGCCATGGGGAAGAAGCGACCAGGGAACTGACCGTTCGACTCAAGGACCTGATTTCCTCCCATGAAGCCTTCCTACCTCTGAAATTTTCTACCACCTTCCAGTGGTGCCATCGACTGGATACCAAGCCTTCTATAGCTAAGTCTTTGGGGACCATTCAAGATCTAGTCAAGGATATCTATCAAGACCAGAATTGTGGTTTGAATCTGAAACTTTCCCCAACCACAGCATATTCTGAATGGGTTCAGATTGTAGGGTGTTATTTTGAAGGCTATAGAGCCTTTCAGAGGTGGGTGGCTACGTCACTTGGGGTTTGGCCTTTGTAAATGATAGACATCCTTGGTTCCTGCCACCTCTCTCTGATTCCTGTCAATTATAGCGTAATCTCTACCACACACTTTAGACTACACATTTTCCCACTATGAGGGACACAAAGACCTCTGAAACCAAGAGCTGTGTGGGACCATGGTCTGTATTCTGTCAATTATATTTTAAATAAATGCTGGTTGGCCAGTAGCCAGGCAAGAAGTATAGGTGGGACAACCAGACAGGAAGTAGAGATGGGTCAAGGAGAACAGGAGAATTCTGGGAAGAGGACACAGTTTTGCGCCCAGACACAGAAGAAGCAAGATGTGACTGCCCTGCTGAAAAAGGTACTGAGCCATGTGGCTAACATATACTATAGTAATGGGCTAATATAAGTTATAAAAGATAATAAGAAGCCTGAGCTAATGGGGCAATCAGTATATAGTTAATGTAGA